AGACACACACACACCACACACACACTCACACACACACCACACACCACACTCACACACAGACACACACACACACTCACACACCACACACACACATACACTCACACTCAGACACACACACACACACAACACACACTCACACACAGACACACACACACACACAACACACACTCACACACAGACACACACACACACATACCACACACACTCACACTCACACACACAGAGACACACACAAACACACACACTCACACACACACATAACAGACACACACACACACTCACACACACACATACCACACACACCACACACACACTTACACACACACACATACCACACACACCACACACACACACACACACACACATCAAAATAACAAAAAATCTTTGTTTGTATTTCCAGACAGGGTTTTTCTGTGTAGCCTTGGCTGTTCTGGAACTTGCTCTGTAGACCAATTTGAGACTGGCCTCAAATTCATAGAGATCCTCCTACCTTTGCCTCCCAGGTGTTGGGAATTAAAGGCATGGACCACCACTGCCCAACAAAATAACAAATTTTTAATATACTATTTTTAATGTTTAGCAATATCTTAGATTAACAACCATAGGTTATGTCTCTCCCCTCTGAAACAAAGCTATAAGTCTCCAAAAACCCCTCCTAAGGCCAAGAAATACTTTAGTAAAATAGAAAAAAGATGGAATGGAAAATTTCTGTTCATTTCTAAAATGTACTCTATGTCTACCAGGAGATATTAAATGAAATGTATAGAACAATTATATAAAAATAAATGGGAATGTGGGGGACACTCCCCCATCAAGTCCACCTACAGGGACAACTACATACACTATGCACATCATTTGATTATAAATATATAGTTAATCTTAAGGCTAAAAAGAATCCTAGTGGTTTGTGTATTTATAATTAAGAGACATGAAGAGGCCCAGTAGTATACAGTATACAGAATACAGAATACAGGCACTTGCCACACAGCATGGAGACCTGAGTTTGATCCTTGGAACCCAGTGTCCTGACTTTCACAAATGCACTGTGGCATGAGGGTCCAAACACACACACATACACACACACACTTTTTGTAAAAGAGAGAGAGTCACCATTGTCAATGGCAAAAGCCCTGTCTCTTGTAAAAGTTAACATTTTCCTCAATGACTAATAAGCACCTCTATCCATATAGATGGAAATGTAACTACCAAGGAACATGAAACCGAAGTATCTATCTACCCGATATACACTGTAGAATAAAAGGTAAATACCTGTTATTTTCAGAGAAAGAAACCAAGGCTGGCAATTCCAAATACTGCTGTACTAGCCAATATGATCTTACAATAATGTCTGAACTTATATTCAAAGTGAAAAACAACAATTTGAGCAGTTATCGTGATAGCTGATGAATTAAGATCACAGCATCAATGTGTATCCTGGCACTTCAAGAACCAAGTGCTCTCTATTTCCTTTCAAAAGAAAAGAGAGCTGGAAATGTTTAACATACACCTGTAATCCCAACTTTGGGAAAATGGAAGGAAGGAGAATCAGGATGCTGAGAGTTATATTGGAAGCTCAAATCAGCCTGGGCTGCATGAGTCCCTACTCAAAAACCCACCAGCAAGGTGTGGTGGTGCACACTTTTATAGCCCCAGCACTAGGGAGGCAGAGGCAAGCAGATCTCTGGGAGTTAGCCTGGTCTATAGAGCAAATTCCAGGACAGCCAGCCAGGGCTGTTACACAGCAAAACCCTGTCTTGAAAAACCAAAACCAAACCAAAACAAAAAAAAAAAAAAAAAAAAAAAAAAAAAAAAAAAAAAAAACAGGTAAGTAGGATGAGGTGGATGATAAGCAGATTTAGAAAAGGAAGTAAAATTTACTATACATTTATAGACATTAACTCAATCAGCCTCGTAACAAAGATCTTCTCAGGAGAACACTGGTGCGGCACGACTTTAATCTCAGCACACAGGAGGCAAAGGCAGGCAGTTCTCTGTGAATTCGAGGCCAGCCTGACATACACAGCAGAGTTTCAGGACAAAATCTACACACGGAGAAACCCCCGTCTCAAAAGTGAAAAAAAAAAAAATTCATCTGTAATAAAATGAGAAAAGCTGAGGCTCAAGACATTAAGCAATGTGCCTTAATATTATCACAAATATATTTAATTACCAAGTCAGGATTTGAATGCAAATGTCTTCTTTTCAAAACCTATATAACCTTGCCATTCAATTACAGCACTTCAGTACTAATAGAGAAATCATGGAAAAAATTTAAGTCTTGCAGACACCAGTAAAAAACCTGTTAGTAATATCTAAAGGACTATAAACTGGAAAAAAAATAACTAGTGTTTATAGAAAAAAATCCAACAAGTTACTTAATACTAAAAGGGAGCAACCACACGTTCACAGCTATGAGAAATATTCTTTTTTGTTGCTGTTTTCGAGACGGGGTTTCTCTGTGTAGCTTTGTAGACCAGGCTGGCTTCGAACTCACAGAGATCCGCCTGCCTTTGCCTCCTGTGTGCAGGGATCAAAGGTGTGTGCCACCACCGCCCGGCGGAGAAGTATTCTTTTAGCAGGAAGTCTGAACACACTGAAAAGTTTTCAATGTATCCAGGCCTCAAGTAGGGGATACTTAATACTTTGAGAAGAAAAAACAAGAGTATTTATGGATGTGGCTAGCTTTAATAACAGCCCTCTAACACAGTGAGAAGATGTTTTCGTCATGGGTCTGAAACGAAGGCTGGCATCATGAGGTACCCCTTTATTTACCTTCTCCCCAAGAAAGGTGAGGAGGGGAAATCTACTAGAAAGAAACTAACTTACAGTAAGGGTTTGGTGTAAGCGCAACCAAAACTGCACCCCTACCATAATTTCACATAACTAAAGAATGTCTACTATGGCCATCGCTACTTGCAAAGTAAATGTGGGGCAATCATTTAGCAAAACGGCAGGAAAACTCAAGTCTTATTAGAAACAGAGAGCAAGTATTCTACGTGTTGTTTCTCAAATCGAACGGCAAATTCAAGACCTTTTCTTGTAAACTTAATTACCTAATAACTGACTGATAACCATTCACTTTTAATTCCCTAGACTTAAGTGTTACCCAACTTCTTGTCTCTGCATCTAAAGCCTCACAACTGGTTTATGGCAGTACTTATTACCTTCAATAACCGAGTTGGGGGGATGAGAATCTCCGAGCAAAATAACACAAAATACGAGAAGAAGGAAAAAAAAAAAACTATGAAACGCCCTGGTCAAGATGGCAACTAATACCAGATGTTAACACAACCTTACTAACAAACTACTTTCACGGCTCAACGGTTTCCCCAGCAGTGCTCGGGCTCCCGGTAAACTCAATGCAAGGCGCTGCTATATCCTTTGGGCACTTTCCAGGTCTACAGTACTTTTCCTTCCCAGTAGAAACCCCACACAGCGGTGGAGACCCCAAGTCTGCGGCCCTCAAAAGTGGCGTTCACCTTTCGCTTCCTAAGAAGTGATGGAAAAGCCACATGTGGAAGCCGAGGCACAGAGAGCTGCTCCTCCCCGCGTCCCACCCGGAGGCCATCCCCTTAGTGGGGTCTCTCCCACACTAGAGACCGTCCAGACTAATTTCCTAGAGGGTATGAGAGGAACCGGGGAAGGCCGGGGCTGGTGAGACCCAAAATAAAGGAGGCGGGGGTGAGGGAGAGAAATAGACACTTAAGACCGGGAACCTTCCCGCCTCTCCCAGACGCCAGCCCGCGACCTGCGAGCGCAGCAGGCTGCGACACAAGGACGCCGATGAACCAGTATCTCAATCACGGGCCTGACCCCAAAGCCAAAAGCGGGGCGAGCCGTGCTCGCCGCCGCCCCCAGGCACGTTAGTGTGGGGCTGAATCCCGGCCGGGACGGACGCGCGCTCTCGGGCCTCTCAACCTGCGCACCTTGGTGCAGCGGCGCCAGGCCCACTGTGGAGACCAGGCCTTAGGCCCTCGCCCCAGTAATCTCTCGAAGGCCACAGATTTCTGGAAGCCCCAGACCACAGTGAAAGACCCGCTGACGGACGGAGATCTCTAAGAAACTACCTTTGAACTGGCCTTCTGAGATCCGCCTGGCGTTTTGTCGGCCATCTTGAGCTTTGCTCCTCCTTCAGCGGAGGCAGCAGCGCGGGTGAGTCGAGCACCGAAAGAGCCGATGGCAGCAGAGCGCGCCAGAGTCCTGACAGGCTGAGCAGCCGAACGCCGAAACGGAGAACCCAGACGCGCCGTACCGCGTGACTTCCGTGTCAAGTCGCTTCGCGCGCCCCGCCCACTCCCCTCGCCTTCCGGTGGATTGCGGCGCCCCGTCACGTTACGCGGCCGCGGAATTTAGGGAATCTCCTTGACCCGACTTTCAAGGCCAACTGATAACTCAGTCATTTTCTTTCTCGAGCCAACCGGTGTTAGATGCAAGCGGGTTCTACTTCCTGTGGGGGAGGAAAGGAAGCTGCTTCTTAAGGAGAGCCGCAGTAGCCACGTGGGCCGAGCGAGCGTCCCCGCTAAGGAAGTCGCTCTGATGGCCGGCGGGACACTTGTTTGCGCCACGGCCCCTCGGCAGCTCAGACCTTGGTGGGAAGGCAAATTTGCCATCTGCTCGCGTTAAAATGGTGAGCAGTAAGCTAGTGTGACTGCAGAGTTGGGAAAAAGCATTTGGCCCAACCCGAGGGTAGTCGGATAAAAAACTGTTGAGGACGTCTGAGCGTGCTACCTGCAGAGCCTGAAAGGAAAAAAAAAAATCGTAGAGACGGTGTTATAAAAGGAGCATACGTGTAAATTTTATTTTTTTATTCCTTGTTGCGTCGTAGTGCAGGCACGCCACAACAACCGTGTGGAGATGAGAGGGTAATTTGCAGGAGTAGTTGCTCACCTTTTCACCACGATGGGATCCGGGGATCGAACTCAGGTGGGCGGGTTTCCTCAACCAGCTCCTCTTACCCTCTGAACCATCTCTGACTGCTAGCTTCTGTTTCTTTGAAGCATAGACACAAAAGCTGTAGCAGAAGATGGCTTTGAACTGCTGCTTTCTCTTGTCTCTCAGCCTCCGGTCCTGGTTTTTGTTTGTTTTGGTTTCTCCAGGGTTTCTCTGTAACCCTGGCTGTACTGGAGCTAGCTAGCTCTTGTAGTCCAGGCTGGCCTTGAACTCAAGAGATCCGCCTGCCTCTGCCTCCCGAGTGCTGGGATTCCTGCACTACCACCGCTGACCAGGTGTAGGGAGGGAACAGGAACAAGTTCACATAGGACGCCTAGGTAACTGATTTGGTTTTAAGTTAGAATCGTAGTCTCAGGATGCAGTAGGGTTAAGTAGAGTCATGAAGGGAATGCTGCAGTGTAGGCTTCATAACTTGTTCCTAATTCATTATTTGAGCCCTGCTAGGTTTGTTTGCTTGGCTGGGTTGGGGTTGGGCTTTTCTTTCTCTTTTTTTATTTTTATTTTATATACATTTTTTTTTTTTTTTTTTTTTTACCATGGGTGTTGGGTACCTTGGAACTGGAATTACAATTGTCAGCTGACATGTGGGTACTGGGAATTGAACCTGAGTCCTCTGGAAGAGCAGTGGGTGTTCTTAACCATTGAGCCATCTCTCCAGCCCTGGGTTTTGGTTTTGGTTTTTGTTTGTTTGTTTTAAGACAGTGTCGCTGCGTAGCCTTGGCTGTCTTGGAACTAGCTCTGTAGACCAGGCCGCTGCTTCCTGAGTGTTGGGAGTAAAGGCGTGTACCACCACCCACGGGCCCTGCTGTTTTTAATATATAAAAAAGCCTGCACAGTGTTGTGACTTACAAAAACAGATAAATAATAACGCTCTATGATGCAAAACTTGGGAATAAGGACAGCAACAAGGAGACAGCAAAGTAGCCCTGTGCATAATTGATGCTGAAGGAAGGGCCAGTAGGGAAGGGAACTGAAAGAAATAATGAACTCTGAGAGTGGGATTGGGGTGAAGAGATGGAAGGCAGACTCACTGAAGCAAGAACATTTACCATGCAGAAGTTGAGTTTTATTTTTTGGTTGATGGGGTTATGGTAAAGGGGGTCAGTGAAGCACTTAAAAAGGAGGCTGTTTCTCAGACCCTCTCAAAAGGGCAATAGGATCTGCTGCCAGGCACTGAGCGATGAACTAGCTAAGCAGTAAGGGTAGAAGCCATAATAACAGCAAGCCAATGGTTAGAAAGTAACGTTTGCTGTACGTGAAATTACAATAGAATGCTGTTCTGTACCTTGCAGCCCAACTGAATTGATTTCCATTCTCAGATCCTGCCCCTCATTTCAGTTCTGAGCCTCTTCTCTCAATCTGACCCTCACCTGTAATTGAAATCTAGTTAATTTTTTATACTCACTAAAGATACCACTTCCTTCAGGAAGATTTACAGACTTCCCTCCCCAGCCAAGACTGTTGGAAATGTTTCTGTTTCCATGGGAACGCATAATTTTCCAACTAGAGTGTATCGCATTAGATACACTTAATTGTTTAGTCTAGGATTAGAAGGTGAAATAATCTCCAGGCATGGTGGCAGGTGGATCTCTGAGTTGAGGCCAGCCAGGTCTACAAAGTCAGTTCAAAGACAGCCAGGACTACACTGAGAAACCCTGTCTCTGAGGAAAAGAAAGCAAGTGAAATTGTCACCTGAGCAGAGCAAGGCTTGGGACTGGGTGTTCTTGCAGTTCTGCCAGCTGCCTTGAATATATGAACATATGCAGCTCCTCAGTCAAACCCCCAAACCTGTACTTGTGAAAATAATTTTTACTTCAGAACAACCACAACCAATCAAAATGCAGAGTTGTGAAGCCCAGTCCCAATGGATACATCTATAAAACACTCCTTCGCCTAAGGCTTTGGGAACATTGCAAAAGAGCAAGCAGAAGGATTGTAAGAGCCAGGGGATCTGGAGTTTGCTGTGAGAGTGTAATACCAGAAGCTACACCCACAGTCTCACCAATATGACTGCCCTGAACAAGGATGGCACCAATGAACATGCCAAACTGGACAGAGAAAAGCTCACAAGGCCTGAAGGCTGCCTAAAGAACTGTAGGTGGCTGACTAAAGCTGGGAACAGGAGAGGTGGCTTTTCCCAGGGAAGAACACACCAATTGGTTGTCCAGTGCCAAACTGCTCTGAAAACATACATATAAGTAACATGATAGGGACTCAACGTGTTATATTTAGGTGTGTGTGTGTGTGCGTGTATATAATCAGTGAAAAAATGAGACCATGAATTTGAAGGGGAGCAGAAAAGGGCATGTGGGAAGACTTGGAGGGAGGGAGGAAAGGAAAGGGAAGCCTTTGTTATGATCTCTCTAAAATAAAATAATTTGTACTAAATGTTCATCCCTACATGTTTAAAAAAAATGCAGAGTAAGGCCCAAAGCAAGTTGTACAAATGTGTCCTAATAGAAGTAAGACTTGGTCTTCATTAAGACCAATTAAGTCCAATCTTAAAGCTTTCAAATCATAATTATAAACAGTTATCCTTAATGTATTTAAACCATGTCATCTTGACCTGGTTATTCAAACTAAATGAAGGAGACAGACTCATTAAATTAACCCAAGTAGACCTATGGAACCTCGAACACACAGAATTTGAGTCATAATTACAGTTCACCAGGGGTTGCACATCAGTAAAAAGCACTATATAATTCACTTCAAATTGCTCTTCTACCATGACATCAAATACCACTTTTCTCTTCCTTGAATGCCAGCTTCTTGTCCTCAAAGCCACCATTTGTTCAGTTTCCCCTGCAATGACTTTTCATCGGAAGTTACAAGGTAGTGCCTAAGATAGTCCATCAAAATGTTTTGTTTAGCTTAGTAAGATTTTTTTTCCTTTGAAATTTGATCTAATGTTTTCAAATTGGGAGATTTTACATAAAACTCAGATTTTCTTGGAAAATGGAAAAGACTGGCAATTCTAGGAGAGAGTCCAGCTAAGATGAGCTACTGCAACTTCTAGGGACAGGAGCTGTACACCCCAGTTGGCCAGGTCCTCACCGTGTACATAGCAGACAAATTTTCCTCATGAAGCCTGCCTGTGGACAATGTGGGACAGTCTAAGTCATATTCAAGTCTCCAGGCAATGACCAGAGCTGAAATCAGCTAGGCAGCACAGAGAGGGCCCAGTGTCTTGGTCAGTGTCTTGGTTCCATGATCTAGGTAGCCCCTCCCCCCATTTTTCCTTAAAATGGGGAAGGGAATGTAGACATGAATGCTACAGGGCAGGAGAGATGACTCGGTTGTTAAGAGCACTTTCTGCCATCCAAAGGACTGCAATTTGAATCCCAGCACCCATGTCAAGTGGCTCACAACCACCTGTGACTCCAACTACAGAAGATTTGATACACTCTTCAGGCCTCTCAGGTCATCAGCACATAAAATAAAATTTTGAAAAATGGTTGTGGAATCTATATACTGAAAGTGACCTTCAGTGTAATTGTTCCGGTCTGGCAGTGTAGCCCAGTAGTAGAGTGCTTGCTTGCCCTGCATACAAGATCCTGAATTGATTCCTGGGACCACAAATAAATAAATAAATATTCTGAAAGCTAAAACCTATCTACCGTGTTGCTTAACTGATAATACAAGAGACTTTCCTTCCTCTATAGGAGTTGAGCATAAGACCTTGTGCAGGTAAGCAAGTGGTCTACCACTGAACCATACACTCAGTTCTCACCAATCCTGCAGCTTACCTTTTCGAGTGAATCTGGCCAGCACACCTCCCTTCTGCCTGACTCTGCACCCCTCCCCGAGGACTTGAGTTGCAAATGCATGCTGGTTTTTTGTTTGTTTGTTTGTTTGTGTGTGGGGGGTGCTTAGAAATCCAAACTTAGGTTCTCATGATTACAAGCGAGCACTTTAACCACTGGCCCAGCCCCACAAATTCTTTTATTTGTACAGTTGGTCAGTTTATTTTCTCAAGCTTCCAGGGATGCAGTGCAATGATACCATTTTCAAGTAATAACTAGTCCACTTTCTCTTGTTCTGTTTTAAAAACCGTTTCCCTTCTTGCATAGCTCATTAGAGTAATGTTATCAGATGGTGTTCGTGGACAGCTTGTCTAGTTCCTGACTTTAACAAGAGTGCTTCTAGTGTGTTTATGAGAATGAGGATGACTTTGTTGTATATTGAATTGTGGTGGTTCATCTTCATTGTCCACTGGATTTAGAATTACCATGGAAACACACCTCTAGATGTTTCCAGAGAAGATCCATCCTGAATGTGGGTGGCGAAATCCCATTGTCACTGTCTAGGGGTCTTGATTGGATTCATTTCCTTGCCTGTTACATAATTAAAAGGCAGGGGAGCTGGGCAGTGGT